AGAAAGAAAGAAAGAAAGAAAGAAAGAAAGAAAGAAAGAAAGAAAGAGAAAGGAAGGAAGGAAGGAAGGAAGGAAGGAAGGAAGGAAGGAAGGAAGAAAGAGAGAGAGAAAGAAAGAAAGAGAGAAAAAATAAATATTTACAGAGAGAAACTGGATTCCTACAGGTTCAGTCCTGCTGAGGGTCAGTCCTGCTTCCTCGTCTCTTCTCTGTCTCCTGTGACATCATCCATGTTCCTGGGTATATAAATAATCTTCCTGTGCCCCTCCCATGTCCTCTCTCCTGCTTGATCTCTCTCTGAGCACAGACTCGGATATGTAACTGTGTCCTTGGCATCTTCATCTGATAGGCATCTCGTGAAAAACTCAACTCTGGCTTTTAGCCACCCCGACAACCTCCTGTTCCAATCTTCATCTCAGTAAACAGTGCCACCATCCACCCAGTTGCCCAGGCCAGACACCTAGGAGTCTTCTTGTTTCAATTTAATTTTAATTTGTGTGTGTGTGTGTGTGTTTTTTTTTTTTTTTTTTTTTTGAGACAAAGGCTCGCTCTGCTGTCCAGGTTGGAGTGCCATTGCATGATCTCAGCTCACTGCAACCTCTGCTTCCTGGGTTCAAGCAATTCTCGTGCCTCAGCCTCCTGAGTGGCTGGGATTACAGGCATGTGCCACCACACCTGACTAATTTTTGAATTTTTAGGAGAGACAGGGTTTGCCTTGTTGGCCATGGCTGGTCTCAAATTCCTGGCCTCAAGAGATCCACCTACCTCAGCCTCCTAAAGTGTTGGGATTACAGACGTGAGCCACCACGACCAGCCTCTAGGAGCCTTCTTGATGCTCCTCTTTTCTTTCCTGCCTCCTGCTCCTCCTCCCAATCCATTATTAAGGTTGGCCTGTTTTATCTCCAAAATAGACCTCGACTTGTCCCCTTGTTCCAATGACTCTTGTCACTCCTAGTCCAAAGCGCAGAAATAGCACTCAAATGAGAACAAGCAAAGTTAGTTACTCAGAGTTTGCCATAGAAGGGAGTCACCACCATCACCTGCATTTTGCAGAGCCTCAAGGGTAGGGCAAAGTGGGGAGAAAGCAAAAGGAGGAAGCTTGCTTGCTTGCTTGCATTTTCTTTCTTTCTTTCTTTCTTTCTTTTTCTTTCTTTCTTTCTTTCTTTCTTTCTTTCTTTCTTTCTTTCTTTTTCTTTCTCTTTCTTTTCCTCCTTCCCGCCCTCCCCTATTCTTTCTCTTTCTTTCTTTCTTTCCTTTCTTTCTTTTTTTTTCTTTCTTTCTGTCTGTCTCTCTTCTTTTTTTGAGACAAGGCTTGGTTCTATTGCTCGGGCTGGGGTGCAGTGGTGTAAACATGGCTCACTGCAACCTGTGCCTGCCTCCCAGGCTCAAGCCATTCTCCCACCTCAGCTTCATGAGTAGCTGAAACTACAGGCATGCACCACCATGCTCAGCTAATTTTGTTTAATTTTTGTAGAGATGAGGTTTCACCATGTTGCCCAGACTGGTCTCGAACTCCTGGGTTCAAGCAATCCACCCTCTTTGGCCTCCCATACTGCTGAGATTACAGGCATGAGCCAGTGCACCCTGACAATTTTCTTTCCCTTTTTTTTTTTTTTTTTTTTGAGATGGAGTTTCACTCTTGTTGCCCAGGCTAGAGTGCAATGGCGTGATCTCAGCTCACCACAACCTCTGCCTTGGGTCCAAGTGATTCTCCTGCTTCAGCCTCCCGAGTAGCTGGGATTGCAGGAATGTGCCACCACATCTGGCTAATTTTGTATTTTTAGTAGAGACAGTGTTTCTCCATGTTGGTCAGGCTGGTCTCAAACTCCCAACCTCAGGTGATCCTTTTGCCTCTGCCTCCCAAAGTGCTGGGATTACAGGCATGAGCCATGGCACCGGCCCTATTTCCTTTTTTTTTTTCTTTCTTTCTTTCTCTTTCCTTCTTTCTTTCTTTCTTTGTTTCTTTCTTTGTTTCTTTCCTTTCTTCCTTCCTTCTTGCTTTCTTGCTTGCTTTCTTCCTTGCCTTCTTGCTTTCTTTCTTTGATGGAGTCGCGATCTGTTGCCCAGGCTGGAGTGCAGTGGCACAGTCTTGGCTCGCTGCAACCTCCACCTCCTGAGTTCAAGCGATTCTCCTGCTTCAGCCTCTCAAGTAGCTGGGATCACAGGTGCCTGCCACCACACCCAGCTAATTTTAGTATGTTTGGTAGAGACAGGGTTTCACCATGTTGGCCAGGCTGGTTGCAAACTTCTGACCTCAGGTTATCTACCTGTCTCAGCCTGGCAAAGTGCTGGGATTATAGGTATGAGCCACCACACCTGGCCTATTTTCCCTTTCTTGATGTCTTTGGAAGTGCAAAAGTTTTGAATTTTGAAGAAGTCTATCAATTTTATTGTGTTCTATCTATCCATGGATCTATACATACAGACACTTTGTGATTTGCAATGGTTCAATCTAACAATTTTTTTACTTTACCATGGTATGAAAGCCATATACATGCAGTAGAAATCATGCCAAGTAACTATAAAGCCATTCCGTTGGCAAGGTGCAGTGGCTCACACCTGTAATCCCAGCACTTTGGGAGGCCAAGGCGGGCGGATCACCTGAGTTCAGGCATTTGAGACCAGCCTGACCAACATGGAGAAATCCCATCTCTACTAAATATACAAAATAAGCCAGTCATGGTGGCACATGCCTATAATCCCAGCTACTCGGGAGGCTGAGGCAGGAGGATTGCTGGAACTTGGAAGGCAGAGGTTGCAGTGAGCCAAGATCGCACAATTGCACTCCAGCCTGGGCAACAAGTGAGAAACTCCATCTCAAAAAAAAAAAAAAAAGTCCTGGCTAACAGGGTGAAACCCCATCCCTACCAAAAATACAAAAAATTAGCCAGGTGTGGTGGCACATGTCTGTAGTCCCAGCTACTCAAAAGGCTGAGGCAGGAGAATCGCTTGAACCTGGGAGGCGGAGGTTGCAGTGAGCCAGGATCA